AAAAAAAAAAAAAAAAAAAAAAAAAAAAAAAAAAAAAAAAAAAAAAAAAAAAAAAAAAAAAAAAAAAAAAAAAAAAAAAAAAAAAAAAAAAAAAAAAAAAAAAAAAAAAAAAAAAAAAAAAAAAGAAGAAAAAAAAAAGAACAAAACAAATCTGTTGTTGAGGAAACTTCGTAACAAAAGTAGCACATTGAAAGAAAAACAAAAACACTTTGATTTAATAATAATTTATGAAACGTGCACAATTTCTATGCGCCCTTCGTATTCTAAATTATAAGATTAAAGCATGATGAAATCATACAATTTATATTTAACATAGTAACAGCACGTGTTTTATACTTGACTCGCTTTTATTAAAATTGTAGACCTTTATAGGTATGTAATTGCAATTTTAATACAGTGTCTTAACGTCTTTAAACTTATGAAGTTGGAAAAAAATAAATAAATAAAAATAGCGATACATGCGAACAATAGGAAGTAAGACTGAAGAGGTGAGAGCGATTTTTATAACAGACTACTGTCACGAGCTCCCTTATGCTGAGTGACCACATGGGTCTAAATTAATTCTACACTAACTCGGACACCCCCTTGTTTTGATGTGCCCAAGGAAACACAATACCAATACAACAAACAAAAGAAGTCTTCAATTTAGCTTAAAGTGACTAAAGCTAATTTATTATCTAAATCTTCTAAGTAAAATAAATTGCAATGTACCATGAACACACTATAACACATGTGTCAAACTCAAGGCCCGCGGGCCACATCTGGCCCGCCGTAAATTTATCAGGCCCACGAGGTCTTGACCAGTGTACAATTATATCCAAGTCAACGCTGTTTGGTTTCCGAGCTCACACTTTGCTGAAAAATGTTGCTTACTTTGCGCCGAGTTTGCACGGCCGTTAAGTGATTTTAAAGCACAGAAAAGCAATTTCAAGCTGTTTCGTAACCCATTTTTCATAGAAGTGGAAAGTGGAAACTGCAACTGTAAATTTGCAGATGGAGCTAATAGAGCTGTAGTGTA